CGAATCTAACTGGCAGGTGTTAAAAGACGGTCAGTGAAGCCATTGTGTTTCCTACTTGACCAAGATCAAACATTCCTAATTGGCAAACACCTGTTCTCCCGAGAATTTCACTGACGTGTTAAACTTCAACCTCTCGTCGTCACAACGTCTACCAGTCCACTCAATTCCCCTGATCTAGTCTCATCAAAAGAAGACTCACTCAGTCGGTGTTAGGTAACCTTTATGACCTACGGTCCAGCTCAGGGAAGCTAATCTCAGGTTTGTTACTAAGTTCCCCGTTTACTAGCCTCTACAGTCTGTGGTCAGGAGATAGCATTCTGACACTGGCATGAGAATCAAACCTAACATCCCTAGTCTGAACCAGCGGGCTGTAGTACGTAGTGTTATGTAATTTTAAACAAAGCGCAGTGGCTTTGTCTCGGAGAAGGACTGGTAACAATTAAATCCGTGCGGTTTAAAGTAACATTAATACCCAGAAGAACTTATTACGAGTACTAACTTCTGGAACCACTGAGGTCGTCTCGTGACAGGCTAGACCTATATTTTAAAAGACCAACGGCACAAGATGGGTGATGTTTTCAGCATCACGCCGGCCACCTTTACTTCCCGGGACTGCACCCGGTAACCACTCAAGGCTGGGTCGACCTGGGAGCCAAGGTCATTTTTGAAGAAAAGTCCGGCTCCGCCAGGAAGTGAACCTACTACCTTTTGATCCGCGGCGCGCGTAAAGCCGCTCTGCCACGGCAACTCCTGTCTAAGGTGTAAAAAGGGATTTTTACTCTATACACTTTTACTTTTATTATTTGCGCGAATTGTAAGTTTGGTTAACCTGTAGGAGGTAACCTATGTTGGACACGTGCATTTCTGCTTAAAACTTTGTTTCACGTTATTCCATAAGTAGCTTACAACATGAATAAAGTCCTTTCTTGAACAACACTTAGCTCACAGATGGTAAGCTAAATTCCCAATCATTTTGTCACTTCATCTGCCTGGTTTGTTTTGATGTTGCTGGTGTCTCTAATGTATCGTGCCCTCCACCCCCCCTCCCCTTTCCAAACTCCCCCTTATGTTAAACACACTGTATATTCTTCCAGAACCCAAGCCTTTAGTTTTGTGCCTCTGATTGTTTTGACTACTATCGCTGTATTTGTGTCCACAGTATTTGTTTCTGAGACTGGTGCTGTTCACGAGTGGCGGTAGTGCATTGGCTAGACGCGCCATCTTAGTTTCCAATCCACATCCAAGACGGCCGATCACTCATCCAGTGCAGACGCTCCACACACACACACACACACACACACACACACACACAAATCCATATACTGTGTAGCACCATATGCCCGATTTCTGGTGTGGGTTTCAGGACCCCATTTAGGGAAAACAAAGAAAGACCCACTTCGTCCCCAACAAGCATGCCGTAAGTGTAGACTAAATGGGTACTTCCTTCGACGTCGGAGTGCGTCTACCTGAGAGGCAAGGAACCAACAATCTGCATACAGAAACGTCAGATTTGTAATTAGGATGTGCACGCCGACACTCACGAGCTGAAACAAGACTTGAGTCCAGAGGTGGACGAACAACCAGAACAAATGACGTGGAAGGAGTTATTTACTTTACGTCATAATTATGATAAAACCGTTTTAAGTGTATCGTTGACGCGTTGGAAATACACGTTAGACACTGGTTTTTAACTGTTGACGTTTTGTTTTAATGACTATAAAATCTGAGAGCAGTTTGTAAGTTTCTTATCACGCCTGTTTAACAGTTGTTTGGTTGTTCGATTACTTTACTTATCCCCGTCTAATATTGCGCTTGTGTATATGTACGTGAAGTTTGGTGGAGTGGTTGCCTTGACAGGGGAATTCCCGGAGAATACACCAGTTACACAATACAGGGGATCCATTTTGATTCCTCTCTCTCACACACACACACACACACACACACACACACACACACATAACACACACACAAACACAGAGTTCGCACCCTTACCGTATTTTTTATCGCCTATGTCAACATGCCTGTGCTAGCAGCCATGCCAGATTGCCAGTTATTCCAGTCTTCTCAACAGACGCCATGTATGCCTACATAATGGTGACCCTGGTTCTGTTACATAGCTCAATCTTCCTCTTACAACCAGTCATTAACCTGTCACTATACTTGATATAATTGAATAACCTGGCCACCTGAGGCCCTAGTTCAATCATTCTAGTGTATGTGTGTAAAGGCATGTGTATGTGTGTATGTGTGTGTGTAAACGTCCTTTACAATGGCTTATATCTAGCACCTACGATGCACTCGTGTGCTAGATAACCTGTGATTTGAGTGCTCTCACTGTATAACCAGAACAAGTCTTTGTAATGATTGTTTTACAGCAGTGGCATCTGGTGCAGAACCAGTATATTTTTGAACAAACTGGTACTCAGTGGACGATGTGGGCAACATAATACCGGACGCCTTTACTTCCAAGCACATGTTGCTGGCACCTATTTTAGGCTGACTTCGCCTTTAGGCAATCATTAACTTTGATAATGCGTCTAAATACGGATTTGAACTCAAACCATTCAGGCACACATGCACATGTATAGCTACTATGGTACTGCCGCTCTAAACAAATGGTCAATCAGTCACGTTTCCTAGCTACATGAAAGTTTACTACAGTGTATCTCCCACAGTTACTGTCACTGGCTTTAGTTGTACACTCTCTCAGACTGCTAGTAGTCCATATCTGGATCTCCCCCCCCCCCCTTTTTTTTCCCACCCCACCCACTTGTTTCGCTAACCCTTGCTTACTTGCCTTTCATCCTTTTTTGTAGTGTGAGAAGTGAACACTATTTTATGAGAAGTGGACAAAGTGATCTTTTCTTCTTCTACTTTGCAATCGGTTTCGTATGCTCCTATCAGACCATCTAGTGGGTTGCCTTTATGAACTCGCATGTCAGTAGCAGGTGCTTCATGGTTCAACATAGTTTGCTCTGCACACGCTGCACTTGAGGCCAGATTTCTTTTCGGGTAGGTTTGCAAGTCTTATTTTATGCAAAGACGAAATACTGTTGTATGTTGCTCTGTGCTGAATCTGTTGATGGGGTCTTGTGGATGTTTACTGTTGGTTAGATCTCTCCAGAGTTCCTTGTATTCTCCCTTGATAAGTTTTTTTTTTTATTTCTGGTAATAACAATGAAAGAATGTGTTGTTTCTCCTTTGTTCCAATTTTTGCAAGTCTGTCTGCCAACCCATTTCCTGGTATGCCATAGTGGGCCGGGATTTACTGGAGAATGATTTTATTGTTTTCTAAGTTTGTTTAGCTGGCAGATCAATTCTCTCTCCGTGTTGTCTCGTGGATCCTTTTGAGTCGCCTGGAGGACTGATATACAGTCACACAGGAAGTTTAAATGATCTGAGGTGTGAGAACAAATCTTGAGCCGTGGACACATTTCTCTGTGAGCTGGATAAAGTCGGGAGCACTGGTGTGTTCTGCAGACTGTCCATTTCTGAGTAGCAGCTCTCAGATCCGTCGTGGTCTTATCGCGACTGTATAAACGGAGCTCGTTAATCATCCCAGGATATTGTAGAATTATCATAATACTCGTATACCAGTCAGTTTGTGAAGTAAAGTCTCAAGACAACGTTTGTCACGCACTGAGATATAAGAATGTAATGCCAGACCTAATTGCAATGAGCAGTCGGCGCTTCGTAAGCGGTATTGTTAATTTCAAGCCGACTGCATTTACTCCCCAAAAGATTTCCTTGTATCCAAAGAGGCTGAATCGACACACGTGGGTGTTTGCAATACCCACGTCATTGAGGATTCGAACACATACCCACCGCCAACGGATAAGAGAAAAACGTGATAGTCACTGCACTACCCAAGCGCTCTTGTAGTTGCTTCTCTTGACAAGGTTCCAAAAGTGACCAAAGCAGATAGAGTAAGCTGTAAAGTGGTGCCTGGCGGTCATCAGCCATTAACACTCACCTGTGTTGTAAGAAGAGGTTGTTGTTGATGGCGGAGTTGGTAATATTGTAATAGTAATGGCTTTCCGTTACTTGTTTTCCTTTGCTTCAAGTGAGAGAGAGAGTATCATAGTGTATAAAAAGAATGTTTGCACTGATGAAATTTCGTGTGACCATTTTTTTTTTTTTCATTCCGTCATTTTTCACCTGCCCGACAACCACAAGTTGCTGGTGATGACAATAGATCTGCTTGTATTGATGTTTCTGCATCGATTAGCTGAGATCGATTGAACAACGTGCGTCTTTTCCTGCTACATGGTTACATGCAAGTAGCAACTAAGTTCTTGAGGGCTCTGGACGAAGTAGTTGCAGTGTTTACCTGTGTGTACGCCTAGCGTGCGTCTGTGTCAATATGTGTGACACATCAGGGACCGGAGGGTGTGTTGTCAGGACATGAACATGGCTATTTGATGACATAGGTAATGAAGACGCCTTATGAAAAACGAAGACACCCAGAAACAACAAACACTTAAGGATCAGCTTAACCATAGGATTGTGGCAGGAAGACCGCCAATGTTCACTGTCTACAACAGAACGTAAGCAATCGGTTTATTTGCTGCATAAATGTAGGTGATACGTCCATTTGCGAGTTATCTATTCTAGAGTAATTGTGATTGTCAACACTGCATATGGCTACACGTAGACGAATATTTAACCGTGGCCCAGCTACTCGGTGTTAGATCACGTTTCTGGCTACTCTCATCAGTTTCCGTTTGTTAGTTTTGCATGATTTTATTGCTACTCTGTTCGAAATGGATCAGCAAACAAAATTTTTCGGGAAATAAATGTTTGAATACAGTAAAGAAGGTAACTAAAAGTATAGGGCCATTTTCACTCCACTCGTGCCTCAGACCAATCGGCGTTCGATATTAAATTGAGTATGAAGCATGTATCATTCTCTCTAGTTGGTAAGTGTTTCCAAGAGTACTGGTGACACTGACTTCTGATACTGATTTCTGACATTGGCACGGATTGTTTCACAGCCAAACATGGCCTCGTACAATGAACGAATGGAAGAGCTACCGCGGATCTGGAAGTACACACCTGACAAGGGCATCCACCTCAAGGTGTATAGAAACGGCGACGATAATTTCCCTGGTAAACTAGTCACACTCAATAAAAGACAGTTTCGAACATTTGAGTCCTGGTTGGCAGACTTGTCTAACTCGATGCACCTGAGAACTGGGGCCATCTGGCGAGTCTACACACCGACCACCGGCACTAGGAAAGACGACTTTGATGATTTCGAGGAAGGACAATCGTTGGTAGTGGCCGGGCAGGAAAAATTCAAGCCACTCAGGTAAAGTTCATTATCGGTCCGTCCATGTATCGTGCAGTTTCCTTTTATTTCTGCGTATGCAATGTTGAATGTTGAATTAGGAATCGCCATCAGAGCACTTGGGAAACCCCCATAAGCGCTAATTCTCCATCTTCAGCAGCAAACAAAGAGTTCCAATTCCGATCGCACCGATTGTATATCCTTCTCGCTCTTACCTTGAGTTTGATCGTCGGCCTGATGCCCTGGTAACTCCTTGAAGCGCCATTCTCCTCAGACCATAATGATGTTTGCGTTTCTGCGCTGTTCACTCGCTCCCAGAGGGTCCTTACAACGTCTAGCTTGTCATACAATAATTCACCACAAAGTGGTGCAGAACCGGCCAGTCTATCTGCCTGCTCATTTCCCAACACATCGGCATTACCTGGAGTGAGCATCCAAAGGATACTAACTACCTGGGACCTCTGAAGTGATGCCGGCCACTCTGCACGGAGCATACCTGGCTTCCCCTTTCTCAACATGTACTGTGAGTCAATGACAATCACGACATGTGTACAGCTGATTCTCAAGCTAGCGGAAGGCAGCAGTAACAGCCTCCACCTCCATTCTCAAACTAGACGTTGTGATGTCATATGTCAGGCTTTATTGCACTAGGCGACGTCTATTCGCCCTCGCTATAAACCCCCATGCACCTCGTCTGCCTCTCAACACAGAGCTATCTGTACAGATAATCACATCACTTGGGCGGGAATTGTCATGAATAATTTGTTGAACTTCTGATTCTGCAGGGCCAGCTGGCCAGTCCCTACACTTACGACCCAAAGTGATAAGAACCCTACACAAGTCTGGAACTTGCTCGGTTACTTTGACCCACTCCTCACTTCGCGCACATTTATCAAGCGTGCACACAAGTCTGATTGTGCTTCAGCTTGCGCCATCTAAGACCTTCCTCTTTTCAGTCTGTGACCCTTAGATCTAACCAGGGCTTCTTGCAAGAGGTGCTTCTTGTCTGCAGCTTCTCAGAGATATGACTTTGCTTGGAGAACTTTCAACTTGTCGGCAATAGTAGGCAGTGCAAGTATATATCGCATACATACTACTGTATGTAATCATATTGTCTATTAATTTGATTTACGGACAGACTGATTGGCAACATTTTTAATCACAATGTTTGTATATCGTCTGTTCAGGTCTGCCTCGTTGTCTTCTCCATTCAACCACTGTGTGTGTGTAATTTATTTGTAATTGGACCTTCTCTGTTAGGCGTACAACCACTCTTTTGCAGTTTACAATGTTGTAGACAATTTCAAGTGGTAACTTAAACTATTCTAGAATGATCCCACTGGTGATAGAAAGGGCTCCGCAACTGGAAGCTCTGGCATTTGAGCAGGACCCTAACCCCAATTTTAGGGAAGCTTCCATGGGACTTGCTTCCCTTCCCTAGAAATTTTCAAGGTCGATAAGTGTCAATTTTTTTTTAGTTATTTGTTTATAAGTGTAATGTTTTTTCCAACTGCTGTATTTTTTATGCACTTAAACGAGGCTAACGTCACTGTCTAAAACACTATAAGGGGTCTGAGGCCATTCCCTCCCCTCTACTTTTTTTTTTTTTTTTTTTTTTTTTTTTTTTTTTTTTTTGTTATGAATTATTGTGGCGGCTAACTTTTGGTGGCATATTAAATATTCTAGAATATTTCAGCTGTAATGCTAGTCTAAAATGTAGATAATTTTGTACTAATATGAATATAAACTTTCTTTCAATGGAAATATGTGTCCGTGTCTGGAAATATAATCTAATCATCTCCCATGATAGTGCCAGACTTCCCCAGTATCACCCAATAATTGGAAGTTCACTGTCTTATTTCTCTAGAATCGTCTCTATTATACTGTGTGTTTCTTGCGGGAGCTACGAGTCACGATCTAATGCTGTAGAGGTACCTTGAAATGAACACTGCATCTGAGGACTGGACAGATGTGAGAATGCACAATTTGCAGTGACTTCGATTGTGATAACAAAACTTTATATTTTAATAATGACCTAAAATAGCACTATTTCATATGTCTTATCGTCCGAAAATAAAGAATTGAGTTCACAGTTTGTTGTCTTTCTGTCTCAAAAATAATAAAAAATCTTGGTGTCTTATGTTTGATTGTCTCAAAAATAACGTCATCAGTGTCTGGCTGTCCCCCATATTTTATTCTCTTCAGCGTCCCCGGGCTGTAAACTGGCGGAGAGTCCAGTAATCCTCCACAGGCAGTTCTGTCTATAGTGTCCTTAATTCCTATTCTACTATCTAACAGAAGCGGACATTTTGTTCCAGGCTCTACTACCAAGTTGGCACACAGCCCGTCTTTGTGTGAAAATAAAGCCGGGATTATTGCCGTGTTTATAGCCTTTATGACTAAAAGGGTTGTGGTTCAAATGTATGGTCTGCTCAAGTGGAGCTGTTCACCCACAAAGACGGTATCAACAGCCGTTTCTCCTCCGGAATGTCGGCAATATCTGCTTCAGTGAACGCCACTTCATGTGGACAGAGTTTACACTAGTTCCATGGACGCCAGTTCAGTTATTCTGAACCGGAAATGTGGGCGATTATTTCACTTCCCCCTCTCCCTTTTTTTCGCCCCCCCCCCCTTCCCCCCCCCCCCCCCCCAATTCCCAGAGGTTCTTATATTTCGTTTTTTCCTTGAATTGTTTATGTTCCCAGTCATACGTCATCATGTAGCGAGTTCTGACAGCGCAGAGTTCCCATAATAAAAAATGTGCAGTCTCATCATATGAGGCTCTGACTTGATTGATCGTCCGCCAGTCCCTCTGCTCACAAGCATTTATATCCTTCTGTACAGACTATGTTCATCAGTTTCTTCTAGTCAGGCAAAAACGAATCTTATTAAATTCATGAGACAATAAAAATAAGTGTGGCTCTATGACAATAAATGAGAACTAGAAACAAATCCATGTATTGATATAATTACAAGTGTCCTTGTCTTGTCAGATAGACTACAAATACTGTTTCTGTGACGACACATGTGTATCGTCCCTGCAGTCTTTGAGCAATGTCTGCGACTGCCTTTCATAGTCGAATGTGTGGAAGTGACATCAGAGAATGGCTTGTTTGCTTGATATTGGTGTTAAGTGAGCTGGAAATTGGGCGTTGGCTCTTTAGCACATAAATTATACATTGTCCTAATTCATGTCATCTGTTCTATTTGTCTGTTCATAGGTGTATTATCAATTCAACATAGTTACAAACCATTTCATTAGGAATGAAAAAAGCTGAATCAATTTCTCTTGTCGACTCTTGATGCAATAATGCATGTAAATAGTTTCTGACGCTGAGCAAATAACTGCTTGTTTCTACCTTCCATTCATGAAAACAAAACAAAACAAAAAATCCACCCCGTTTATCCTACTGAGAGCAGTATCGGATATAACTGCGGTATGGTCTCTTTGTGCCAAGTAGGTTGGCTAAGAAGCGTTAATTACACCAAAACGAGTCGCTTGGACCGGTACTCCATGTACCTGATGTTGCTAGAAAGGGGACTAGTATGCACCATACATATACATACATACATACATACATACATACATACATACATACATACATACATACATACATACATACATACATACATACATACATACATACATACATACATACATACATACATACATACATACATACATACATACATACATACAGACATACATACATACATACATACATACATACATACATACATACATACATACATACATACATACATACATACATACATACATACATACATACATACATACATGCATGCATGCATGCATGCATGCATGCATACATACATACATACATACATACATACATACATACATACATACATACATACATACATACATACATACATACATACATACATACATACATACATACATACATACATACATACATACATACATACATACATACATACATACATACATACATACATACATACATACATACATACATACATACATACATACATACATACATACATACATACATACATACATACATACATACATACATACATACATACATACATACATACATACATACATACATACATACATACATACATACATACATACATACATACATACATACATACATACATACATACATACATACATACATACATACATACATACATACATACATACATACATACATACATACATACATACATACATACATACATACATACATACATACATACATACATACATACATACATACATACATACATACATACATACATACATACATACATACATACATACATACATACATACATACATACATACATACATACATACATACATACATACATACATACATACATACATACATACATACATACATACATACATACATACATACATACATACATACATACATACATACATACATACATACATACATACATACATACATACATACATACATACATACATACATACATACATACATACATACATACATACATACATACATACATACATACATACATACATACATACATACATACATACATACATACATACATACATACATACATACATACATACATACATACATACATACATACATACATACATACATACATACATACATACATACATACATACATACATACATACATACATACATACATACATACATACATACATACATACATACATACATACATACATACATACATACATACATACATACATACATACATACATACATACATACATACATACATACATACATACATACATACATACATACATACATACATACATACATACATACATACATACATACATACATACATACATACATACATACATACATACATACATACATACATACATACATACATACATACATACATACATACATACATACATACATACATACATACATACATACATACATACATACATACATACATACATACATACATACATACATACATACATACATACATACATACAT